GTGCTATAATGTGAGAATTCCAACATATGACTATTATGGCATAATATCTCATAGCTCAGCTTGTCATTACTTCACTTGTAATTCTTATGTTAATTATGTTCATAATTACTACAAACAGATGTGGTAGAAATTCATGTGACCTTTTACTGCAGAATACATTTCTCACTCTTTCCACTTTATTTTAATAATATAGGTTAAATCAGAGGAAAGTATTTGACACACTCTGCATGCATGTATGTACAAATTTAACATGAAACCATTTCTGCCTCATATTTCAACCAAAGGACCACCTACATGCCAGTACATTGACATGAAAGTGATGATAACTGAAAAGTCTACCCTGAAACACACCCCTAAATAACTGTGCCTGCAATAAACCTTTTTGATTAAGAGTAGCTAGAGCTATCACTGAAGCTTAGGACTTAAATGGAGCACTRCATTTTTATTCAGGACCTTTGTTAATGCAGCAGTATCCTGCTTTACTACAAGTACATAACAGCTATACAGCAATTTATTTTACTCACAGACAAACCATCGCCGTCTGCACACAAAACACATTTACAATAAAATCACTATGGATTTCATTAAGAGAAAGCCTACTCGAATTTCATTTCTTTGGACCTAATCTATAATTAGTGTGGACAGACAGGTGCAAACCCTTCTCCTCTACAGATGGCTACTGGAAATGGTGCAAAATAGCTCCTTCTGTTTAAACAACACACAGATAACCTGCTCTGCTCTTATCACTTACAATTACCTCCATTATACTGAACTAATGTTTACTTTAATAAATGTCCACTGTTGTCTAAACGTTATTTGGAAACTTTCATATCGATGTCAGAAAAAAAAATTAGGATGGAAGTCAATGTCTTTCAGATAAAAATTTGCAGAGGAGAAAATAAAAAAAGCTTTTAAGGAACAGGATATTTTGACTTTGATTTTATGTGTGCTGTTCATTTTTCTTTATCCACAAAACCACACAGTATGCTACTTCCTGATGTATTTGTGCTACCATATATTAAGCTATTAAAGTTTATAGTAAGAACAGCATAACTGCATTTTAAAAGCAGATCTTTAAAAAGGAACATCTATGTTCAAAACCAAGACCCTTTGCCTTAAAAGTTCAATTTTTGAACCAACTCTTTTAGATCTCTGCTGTGAAATGACATGAAGACAATGCAATCTGGAAGCTAATGTTTTAAGAATTGACACTCATTACTTACATTAAACTGAGTGTCAGTTTCAACTTTAATACYATAGGTTGTTTTTTAAAGGCTGTATGAAAGAGAGCAGGCTGCTACTAACTACATGGATCAAGGTTTTTTAATGTACTCAGATTTAAAAGAATTCTTTTCACGTTTCTTTAGCGAAGCCACAAGAAACAACCCCTTCAAAACACCAAATTCATGTTTTATTTCAGCTATTAAGTCTTCTTGATCTCTGCATGACAAGTTTCTACAGAACAAAGAACAAGATCTTCTCCTCCCCCCCAGTCTAAAAAGTCTGAAGCTCCTGCAATAGCAACATACCGATATCCTTATTCAATTAGCTAAATATTTAACAGTAATAGACTGTGGCAAGTGGATTTGAAAGTTGAAAATAACAATTGCAAGCCCTTTCTCCCATCAGCCCCAATGCAAACACTGCAGATGCCTATTTCACCCRAAGAGTCTGGCAATGAGGAGTTCGCAGTCTGCACAGTACCTCAGTGAGGCGAGCTTCACATTCAATGCCTGTCGTCTGAAGTTCGTTTCAGAGAAGTGAGAAACAGGATTTGACAGGGAAGAATGTCCTGAACTGACTAGCCACTGACCAGCACTCCAGGTGGAGCTATTTTTCTCCCCCATTATTCCGTAAACAATACTCCCAATATAAAACTCCATGTGCACACAGGCATGCACAGTGTTAAGCGTACACAGATGAGAGACACCGTGTGATGTTTTATTGGTGCATTATTTARGCACGAAACAAGTTAACATTAAGGTGGTCAAAAATGGTAGAAGGCAGTGTTTTACTTAAAAAGATTTTGGAAACTATTTAAAAGCTCAAAGCCTTTGAAGAAAAACAACTTGTGCAGCAGTTGCCAGGAAGCAGTGACCTAACACTGCTGTCTGCATTCCATTACAAACAGAATGGTTCTTGTCTCCCTACAGCATGCTCATGGCTCAAGAACCCAGCCGCTCACCCTTCTGCAAGCACAGGACAGAAAGAAGTCCTGCTATCATGTCTTGTACCCCTTGTCTGGCTCCAGCTTRCCAGAGGCACTAACAGAATCAAGAGTGGGTTGGGTTTTTGGTGGAGTTTGGTGTTTTCTTGCACTGATGCATGGTTGAACTTCCCATGACAGCAAAGGAAAATGACTCCTTCATTAATTGGTAATAGTAGCAATTATACTGAAGGTTCAGATGTAATGAAACTGACCTTAATAAAGTTATCAATGATCAAACATAGAATAATTTCCTAATTAAAAACCTGTACAGCAATYCTACAGTGAATCTCACACCTAACAAAGCCTTTGCCAACTTAATATTTTCACAGACTGTACAGTTATGAATGAGCCATATTCGTGTCTTTTTTTGCATTATCTTCCTATTGATGGGGAGYTACAGAAACACCTAGTGCTAAAACCAGAATGCATAAAAAAGATGGACTAACTTTTTTACCATTCAGCGGAGCTGAAGGAAATTCCCTGATCATATTGGATTTCCTAAGGAAATCAGCCCAGAATAAACTGAATGAGGTTTTCAGACTTCCCATGGAAAGGTCAAGCATCAGCTTTAACAACCATTAGAAACCAGTTTCAATCCTCTCAGCTATCCAAATTCACTAAGCCGTTAACAGAAAAGCTGAACAGAAATCCTGGACAATAGAATTCAGTTCTAAAAACGTCTTTAACGTCTTGCCTCAAACTGCAGTTAACAAAGTTGCTTATTTAAACTTTCCATTGCATCTGTCAGGATGCAGAAAAGGAGACAGAAATGTAAGGCTTCAAGGGTGTAGTTAAATAAATTATACTCACCCTTAGCCCTAACATACTGTGTTTACAAATACAATAACTATGTTTCTAGCTACATGTCAATGGAAAATATTTTCTAAGTCCTTCAAAAAGCATGCAAGCATTACTGTAAGTAGGAAATAAGTCAAAACAGATTAGTAGACCAAAAATGGGGAGGGGAAAAAAAAATCCTGCTTTGGTCAGCAACTCGGACCACCATCAGGGGATAAATCAATTTGCAGCAGCTGTGGACAGCCATTTAAGTCTGGGGCCTGAACAGATTAATTAGGAGAAGCGATGTTAAAAGTTAAAGGGGTCAGCGTTACATTAAGCACACGAGTACTTGCTGGAGTAAACGCTTGGCTGTACATACCAAGACTCAGAAGACATTCTTCTAGTTAGCCAGGGCTACGCCAATAGCCAAGCGTTTGGCACTTGCTGCTTTCCCAGAGACATCACATCAGCTTCCGCAGCCTGATTTTAAGAGGTATATACCCACTCTTGCCCAGCCCTTACCGCGCCATGCTGTGCCCTCACCGCGTTCAGTACTGCCCGCACAGGCGGGCGCGCAGCCGTGCACAGCGCACCTCGGGGCCGCACCGGCAAGCGAAGGCAGGGGCGTCCCGCCCGGCTGCGGTCGGCAGTGGAAAACTTAGGCGGCTCTTTCGGGCAGCCTGGCTGCCGCGGACTGAGCGGATCGCAGCGCGCTCCCGAGCTGCGGGCGGGAGCTGCCGGCTCCCAGGCGTCACGGCCGGGCGGCTGCGAGAGACGGAGCCTCTCCGTGCCGTGRTTTAGGGCACGGCAGAGGTAGGCGGGGATGACGGGCAGAGCCTGCTGCGGACCGGGAGATGGAGGGCTGCTCTCCCAGAGAAACCCGAGCGGCTTCGAGGCGGCTGTTCCCCACCGCGCCGATSCCAGGAGCCCCCGGCTGCGGCCGGGCAGGGGGGTCCCGCCGCGCCCGGCTCCGGCTGCAACCTGGGGGGCAGGAGGGGGAGGCTGCTTCGGCTCCTCATACCTTCGCCCTCCTCCTTTAAACTTAACAGTGAACTGAGGGAAGTAACATTTTAGCTCCTGTTGGAGCATGAGCGATTTAAGAGCTGTGTCCGATTAGTTACTTTCGGTTTCTCTCTAACATCTAGGGGAGCAGAGTACAGGAACGACAGATACTTCGCTGTATATTAACTCTGCAACGGAGGCACGGGTGCTCCTGCTAGGGTGGCAAGTCCTTCCGTGCCCTAAACCAAATTTCTCAACTTTGGCACTAACAAAAGGACTCGAACACAGCAAAAGTCAAAGGCTCGTTTAAATGGCCGGGAATGTGGTTTTCATCCTTCCAATCTCCATYATCGATGGTCTGTTGAGAATTTATGGAATCGAACCCTTCAGCTCAACCAGACAAGACGACACACATACATTGTAYTGCAGTTTTGGACCATGCAATCCCTATCGTTATCCTGTCGTTTTAGGAAACGAGCTATTTGCAAGACCGCGGTGCAGCTAAAGGCGACGTGCACMGCCTAAAATATTTCTTGCAAAATAGTCCGAAGAGATGTTGCCAGTGCTGCATAAACCTATGATTGCAGTGAAACAAACAAAACAATCCCATCAGAAATATTTCAGGCACTCCGATTCACACTGGCCAGCGCTAGAGCCTGGAGAGAAGGGAGGGAGGAAAGAAAAAGGCAAGTCCTAAATCCAGATAGAAATCTGACGCTACKGAACAATATGTGCCTGGGAGGGTTATTTTCTGAAAAACTGGGTTATTTGGTTTCTGAGCTCTTGAGCAGGAACCGGGGTGCTAGTTTGTAAGCCGGGGACAGAGCGGGTAAGGCTGCATGCAGCGCTAACCTGGCCCGGGCACAGCAGCAGCCCCGGTCCGCCTGGGTTAGTTACAGCCACGGGAGCCCCTCAGCCCGGGGAGCGGGAGAGGAGAAAGGGAAAGAAAAGGACTCGGGCCCCCCCGGCCCGGCGCGCCCTGCCCAGCCCTACCCGCGCCCGTACTCACACTGCAGAGGACCGGAGATGCCCACCATTCGCCACGGGCTGCGAGCTGCAAATAAAAGTTCCCGTCCTGCTCGGGGGAGAGACGGCAGCCCAGGCTGCTGGAGGGGCGAGGGGGTGGGAAAGGGGAGAGCAGCGCCGCGCGGCTTCCCTTCCCAGTCCAGATGATCCACGTCCACAAAAGTCAAAACGAGCTGAGGAGAAACTCCAGCTGCTCTTCCCCCCCCCCACCACCCTCTCTCGCTCTTTTTTTTTTTTTTTTTAAAGGAGGATCAGCTCGAGAGAGACTACTGGTTCCACGGGAAAGGACGAGAACCAAAAATAAAGCAAAGTCTCCAAGTCGAGATAGTTAATGCCCAGGTCCTTCTCGTTGCTGCCGCCGCCGCCGCTTCAGACAAACGTGATGTGGAGCGCAGGGAGCGGCCGCTGTCACTGGCGGGGTCTCTGCCTGTCCCCGAGCAGCCGCCGCATAGCTGAGCCCGCGGCGAACCCGAGCCGTGCCGCCGGTGCGGTGCCGTGCCGAGCCGAGCCGTGCAGAGCCGCGCTGTGCCGAGCCGAGTCGAGTCGAGTCGAGCCCGCCTTGCCGCCGCCGCTCCGCTCGGCTCCCGCTAGCAGGCAGCGTGCGAGGCAGGCAGCATACTGCCGGCAGCCGGGCCGGCCCCGCTACCCAGGTGCAGGGGGGGAGGGCTTAAAGCAGTGGGAGGTGATAGAGGTAGGAGACATCTGTGTCGTGAAGAGGTTAGTGGGGGTCAAGTATATGTTAACAATAGGCGAGCGCGGTCCCTCTCGGGCAGCCTGCCTACTCTTTCTTTCTTTCTCTCGCTTTTACTGGGTGGACATCTAACTTGCTCCCTAATGATGCCTMCCCGGCTTTAAGAGTCCAGACTGCCCTGCAGTAACCCAAGACAAACACTTTCTCTAGCCATCTGGAGAGCTCCTGGCTGCTCTGCCTGTGTCTCATCACTGTGTGAAGAGACAGCAGTGCTAGAAATCAAGCCACTCTCAGATCTACTCTCTAATCCCCTTCTGTTAGCTGATTTCCAGTCAGACTGTTTGCTTTTGCATTAGATAATAGCCTTAGAGAAAACAATTAYCATTTTCTTTTTCCCTTTGTTTTTTCCTCTTTCTAAAGTACAGTATYGAGGAAGGCCTCCCTCTCTTATTTTAAAAGAAATTTATAGTCTTTTATGGCTTTAAGAACCCAGATGCAATTTCACACTTTCCTGGAAGGGGATTCTGGATTCTTCTGAAAGCAGCGACACGATCATAACTGCAGCAAAAATTAATTACTATCATCTACAATTAATAGAAGCATGCCACTGTTTGACTTCGTGTTTCATTACATAATCATTTCAGTAGGCATCCATATATTTTCCGATTCATCAGTTATTCCCTTCTACGTGTTGCAGAGAATATTATTGTCAGTTGCACAATCTACAGCAAACTGGTATTTCTGATATCATGTTGACAGTATATAAAGAAGGCGTCTCCACAAAAAAAAAAAAAAAAAAAAAAAAAAAAAAAAAAAAAAAAAAAAAAAAAAAAAAAAAAAAAAAAAAAAAAAAGGCCAAAAAAAAAGAGCATCAACTTCTTACATTTGCTTCAGAGTTAAAAAGTGCATTTTTTTTTCAGATTACAGATAATGTTTTGGAATTGTCAGAAATGCTGGGACATTTGCTTCATTTTTTTTCCAGTGTCAGATGTTAAATAAAAGAGTGAGCATGGAATAGAACTTCTAATCAAGCTGCCTTCTTTATTCCTGTACATACACGTGTGCACACACACACATGTACGCTATAGGCCTGATCTTGCAAATTTACAAATGCTTAATTTTAAACACATAAATATACCTATTGAATGCAAAGTAGCTTTCGGTGTCTTTATCATAAAGGCATACACATTTCAAGAAGGGGGGAAGTATTTATATGTATGCTTATATGCATACTTATAGCAGTATTTGCTTCTGTTTCTGGCTTTGATGTTTTGGTTGATTTTGAAAAYAGGTTTAAAATATATTTTAGTATCTGGATCAAACTACATTTTCTGCAGATATTTAAGGACATAGAGCTTTAATGGACTGGTCAGTATCTTGTAATTCAGGGTCGAATTTACCTTGAAGTAAATTCAGCTCCATGGATCATAAATCAGSACATGTTTTGGTTTACTGTGATTTCAGTTTACAAAGATGGTGAGCAGCCACAAGTCTGGTATTGATTTCTAATTTTRAAACTATCTGTTTTACAGAGGTCTATTTGAAGGCCAAAATTAAGGGGGAATCTTTAAAAAAGGATCTTCAAATATTTTAAAACAATCTAAAGATAGCAAATTTTACAAGGCTTGTTTTGGCTACAGCAAATTTCAGTTTGAAAATCTTCGTGGCGTGATACTTTCATTCCACTTGTTCTGTGTGTAAGGTGACAAATAAAGAAGAGGTTTGCCAGTGGTCTCAAGACCATGCTTTGATGAAGTGTCAGGGGACTGAACACCAAGTCCTAATTCTCAGTTTACAGCTTTAAAATAACCTGGCAATGCTTCCTCTTTAGTGCTTCCTCTTTAGTGTGTACCTTCACTCTAGAAGATCAATCAGCTTTCTAGGTATTACAATTCAAATCAGTGGAGGAGCATCAGCTTAGATTTAGAAACGCTGGAAAATCGAATATTAGCAATTTAATATCCATAAAATTTATAGATTTCTGTGGATTCYTTCCATAATGAGAAAAATACGAAAATCACCTATTAAACTCCCAGCCGTGGCTCATCTTGTATGACATTTCCCACTGTTCCCAGTAAGGACAAAACCTTCTCAGATAAAGGAGTGTAGTAGGGAACATTAAATGCCAACTACTTCATGGCAGCTGTACTTTTCTTAGATGTGCTGGGAGAATTCTCRTGATTCCTAAATAATAAAAGATTGTAGCTATYGAGTCTTATCATTATATTACAAAGCTGATGATTGAAACSTGCCTTATTGCAAACTTCTCTTATCCATACCTTTTTCTTTTCTCTATTTTTTTCCTGGAGAAAGTAGATATGTATTAGTGAAAAAGGAAAAATAAACATGTTTTTCGGAAGATGAATTCATGTTTCAGGAAGGAAAAAAAAAATGCAGCCTCACAGTAGACCTCACAAATACTTGGTAACTTTACACCCTGCAGATTTTTTCTGCAGACTGTAGATGCCATGTCTGATTTGACATATGAAGGATTTACACTGTGTATCACTGTGTGACATTGTGTGAGAGAAAGGCTGGTAAAAGTATAGTTGCACATGGAAGTCAGAAATATCCTGCTAGGCTGTCCAAATCTGACTATATTTTGATTGTACAGAGACCAATCAAATGTTCAGAGCTGAAACATGGCTCAGTCTTTACTGTGAATAATTATACTATGGGCAGTCATCTGCACTGAAATTCTTGGAAGAGAACTTAAATATCAACTCACCTCATTGCTGTTTAAAAATAGAGACAAGTATGTCCCTCCTAATTGTCACTGCCTTGCAGCTTGGAGTGTTACACATTGTCACATGTTCCCATCCAGAGCTCATGCTCCTCTAACACTTTCCCAGTCAAACTGCGCAGACTTTAAGTCCATCCTTGTTTTTSGGGGATGTTTCTCAGTAAACGTGTCTTCCATCTTCCCTTTCCAAAAGCTCGCTTTCACAATCYGTGAAGCACACAAGGATCTCACTAYTTGCTTCTGCTGAAGCTGGATTGGACCTTGGCATCCAGCTCAGGGCTGTAGGTAGCTACTACAGCATTTATTTGACAAGCTTGCATTTGGGTGGAGTGACACAGTAAATATTCGGGTAAAATTAAACAGTCAGAATGCTAAGCTGGATCACTGATAGCTTTAACTCACAAATCTTTCCCTCAATCACATCCTTCCAATTTTAATTTGAGAGTATATTTTACATATTTGCGTGGGCCACGCTTCGTTTCCACCTTTCTTTATTTGTACACCTTTTGTAGTTGTGCAGTGCAGAGAAATTGCAGCAGGATGGAGGCTGCTGCAGGATTCACACYGATGTTGCATACACTTTCTTCAAAAAATAGTTTTCAGTTTAGCTGGGAGTGCAGGCTAAATCCTGTTTTGACTCCTGCACAGAAAAACAACAAAGACTTAGGGAGTGCTGTGCTGCAGAAATGCTGCCCCCGCTCTGGGGCTTGGCAAGGGCTGGAACAGGTGAGCCACGGTTGATGGGTGCGCTTTGCAGCTCCACGTATGTGGAAAACGTGCACCAGCACTAACACTTGATAACATGAGTGGAAAATAAGCAGTAGCAGGATAGATCCCCACCCTTTAGTATGCAAAGCATGTCCACTAGGTGATGTACATGCTGCAAGAGCTGACATATTACCTGCCTTTCTTTCTGTGCACACTACTGTTTACCCTTTCATAGTGAGGAAAATGTATTAAGTTCTTTCCAAATTAAGAAAAAAAAAAAAGGCTGTCTGCTTTCAGGAGGTTTTAAGCTCCATTGATGTTCATTTTGACATCTCTTCCTTTCTAATAGGATATATTTTAGTTCTGCTCCATGTATATTTATTTGGGATATTCCTTAATTAAATTATATGCTAAGGATACTTTTCACATTGTTGTTTGCCTTTTGGCATTGTCAGGAGCCCTAAAACCACTTTAATTTTGTAGTATTCTGAAGCACTTTGCAGAAGAATACATGCACAGTGACAGAAAAAAGGGAGCTGGGTTATTTTGGAAAGATCACATAAACAAAAATAATATATTGGCAGTCATTTGTGGGAATGCCAGCTTTGTCACTCATTTCAGTGAAATGTGGCTTCTTATTAAAAGCCAGATCTTTTCAAGAAAAAAAAAATCTACTGGTTAAATAAAGCACACCRAGAAAAAAGAGAGAGAAAAAAATATTTTAAAAGTTTCTTTTTTATGGAAGCAGAAAGCTTATCTTGTCTGAATCCATTGTCTAAATTTCAGTTATGCAAATAAATAGATATTGAATATTCATCGAATTAATATTTAAATGTATTCTTAAATATAAAATATTTCTTTTTAGTGCTGAAATACTTCTGTCTGTGCTGAAACCGAGAGAATAGATTGTGCTGAAATAATGCAGGCTTAGTGCTTCTTCTATAACAAAGTCAAAAACACCAGAATGGAAATAATAAATTTGGTTTTCATCAATGTCAAAGTGCAGGAAACATTTTGCTGTTGAGGTTCCTGGAAGCAATAAGTGCTGTATTAACTGCCACGCACACGCACACACACTCRCACACGGATACCTC